TCAGTTTCCGGTCAATGGTAATCTCCACAACGTTGATATTGGGGGATTCAGTGGAGGCAATGCCACTGAATGTCAAAGGGGCAAGGGTTACATTGTTTCCATAAAATCAAAAGAAATAGGAACAGGAGTAGGCTGTTTGGCCGTGCGAGCCTGCTCCTCCATTTACAGGATCATGGTTGATTCGAAATTCCTCGTGTCCTGCATTTTTCCCATAATCCTAGATTTCCTCATTGATCAAGAATCTGACTCAGCATTAAATATACACAAGGACTCTGCCCTCACAGCTCTGTGTGGCTAGGAGCTCGACAGACGTTCCTCGACAAGGTTCTGCAAGGTAGATTGACTAGTGAGGTTAGATCACATGGGATCCAGGGAGAGCCAATTGGATACAAAATTTGCTAGATGGTAGGAATTAGAGGGTGGTAGTAGAGGGTTGTTTTTTTTTGGATTGGAGGCCTGTGATTGGCGGTGTGCTGCAAAGGATCATTGCTGGACACACTGTTGTTCATCATTTATACAAATGATAGGTATTGTGTTTTGGTTAGACAAACCAGGGCAGGACTTATACAGTCAATGGTAGGGCCCTGGTGAGTTTTGTCAACAGAGAGACTGAGGGGTGCAGATGCCTAGTTCCTTGAAAGTGGTGTCACAGGTAGACAAGGTGGTGAAAGCAGCTTTTGGCATGCTTGCCTTCATTGGTCAGAACACTGAGTACAGGAGGTGGGACGTCATGTTACTGTTGTACAAGACATTGGTAAGGCCTCATTTGGAGTACTCTGTACAATTCTGGTCACCCTGCTACAGGAAGGATATCATTAAACTTGAAAGGGTTCAGAAAAGATTTACAAGGATGTTGTCATGACTGGAGGGCTTGAGTAATAAGTCGAAGGGGTGGGATGGGGTTGGATAGGGTAGGAATTTTTTCCTTGGAATCTAGGAGGCTGAGGGGTGAACTTATACAGGTTCATAATATTATGAAGAGCATAGATAAGATGAATAGCCAAGGTTTTTTCCCCAGCTTAGGGGAGTCCAAAAGTAGATGGAAAAGGTTTAAAGGTGAGAGGGGAAAGATTTAAAAAGGACTTGAGGAGCAACCTTTTCATGCAGAATGTGTTGGGTATATGGAACAAACTGCCAGAGGAAGTGGTGGAGGCAGGTACAATTACAACATTTAAAAGACATTTGGACAGGTACATGGATAGGAAAGGTTTAGAGGGATGTGGGCCAAACACTGGCATAAGGGACTAGTTCAGTTTAGGAAACTTGGTCAGTATGGATGAGCTTGACCAAAAGGCCTATTCTCTGCTGTACAACTCTATGACCCTGTAGTCTCAGCAAAAGGGGTGCCAACTTAAGAGTGAGATGAGGCGGAATTTCTTCTCTCAGAGGGTTGTAAGTCATAGAGTTAAAGAGTCATACAGCATGGAAACAGGTCCTTTGACTCTATGACACACAACCCTGTGAGAGAAGAAATTCCTCCTCATCTCAGTCTTAAATTGGCTCCCCTTTATTCTGAGACTATAGAGTCATAGAATTGTACAGCACAGAAATAGACCATTTGGTACAACTCGTCCATGCCGATCAGATATCCTAAATTAATTTAGTTCCATTTGCCAGCATTTGGCCCATATCCCTCTAAACTCTTCCTATCCATACACCCATCCAGATGCCTTTTAGATGTTTTTGTACCAGCCTCCACCACCTTCTCTGGCTGCTCATTCCATACACACACCACCCTTTGCGTGGACCCAGCACCGATTCTTGCCACAGACCACTGGTCTCCATTCCGAAAAACAATCCTTCACCACCACCCTCTGTCTCCTACCTTGAAGTGAAGTTTGTATCTAAATGGCTAGCTCTCCCTTTATTGCATGTGATCTAATCTTGCTAATCAGTCTACCGTGTGAAACCATGTTGAACACCTTGTAGAAGTCTGTATAGACAACATTCACCGCTCTACCTTCAATCTTCTTTGTCACTTCTTCAAAAACTCAAGTTAAGTTATTGAGACATGATTTCTTATGAACAATGCCATGTTCACTACCCCAAATCAGTCCTTGTCTTTCCAAATGCATGTAAATCCTGTTCCTCAGAATCACCCCAACAACTTGCCCACTAGTGATGTCAGGCTCACCTGTCTATAGTTCCCTGGCTTTTCCTTACCACCTTTCTTAAATAATGGCATCACATTAACCACCCTCCAGTGTTCTGGCACCTCATCCGTGGCTATGTTCTCTGGTTCTAGGTTTTCCCATAAGGGGGAAACATCATCTCAGAATTTACCCTATCAAGTTCCTAGGAATCCTATGTGTTTCAAAGAGATCACCTCACATTCTTCTGAACTCCAGTGAGTACAGTCCAACCTGTTTAGCCTTTTTTCATAAGACAATTCCTCCAAACCAGAGATCCTGCTGGTGAACCTTCTCTAAACTGCCTCCAATGAAATGATATCTTTTCTTAAAGAAGGGAATCAAAACTGCTTCACAGTACTCCAAATGTGGTCTCACCAGCACCTTGTACAATTGCAGTAAGACTTCCTACTCTTACACTCCAACCCCCTTAAAATAAGGGCCAACATTCCATTAACCTTCCTGGCTAACTGCTACACCAATGTGCTAGCTTTCTATGTTTCATGCACAAATACCCACAAGTCCCTTTGTGTTGTTGCTTTCTGCAGTTTATTTCTATTTAAATAATACTGTTCTTTCGTTTTCCCTTCCAAAATGAAGAACTTTACATTTTGCCACATTATACTCCGTTTACCAACATTTCATGCAAAATGTTGCCATCTTATTGGAGATGGTCATTGACTGGCATTTGTGTGGCATGAATGTTCCTTGCCTCTTTTCACCCCAAGCCTAATATCGTCCAGATCTTGCATTTAGTCATGGACTGCTTCAATATCTGAGGAGTCGTGAATAGTGCTGAATATTGTGCAATCATCAGAGAACATCCCCACTTCTGACCTTGTGATGGAGGGAAGGTCATTGATAAAAGCAGCTGAAAATGGTTGCACCCAGGACATAATCCTGAGGAACTGCTGCAGAGTTGTCCTGAAGCTGAGATGTCTGACTTCCAACAAGCACAAATATCTTCCTAAATGCCAGGTATGACTCCAACTATCAAAGAGTTTTCCCCCTGACTTCCACTGACTCCAGATTTCTTAGTGCTCCTTGATGGCACCCTTGATGTGCAATCTTGATGTCAAGGAATGTCACTCTCACCTCCCTTCTGGAATTCAACATTTTTGTCCATGTTTGAGCCAAGGCTGTAGTGAGATCAGGAGCTGAATGGCCCTGGTGGAACACAAACTGGGTTTCACTGAGCAGGTTATTGCTGAGCAGGTCCAGCTTGATAGCACAGTTGAAGACACCTTCCATTACTTTTATGATCGAGAGTAGACTGATGGGTTGGTTATTGGTCACGTTGGATTTGGTCCTGCTTTTTGTGTACAGGACATTTGTGAGCAATTTTCCACATTGTCGGGTAAATATCAGTGTTGGAGCTGCATTGGCTAGGGTTGTGGCAAGTTCTGGAACTAGTATTAAGTCTTTGCCACTATTGACAAAATGCTATCAGGTCCCATAGACTTTGCAGCATCCAGTACCTCCAACTATTTCTTGATATCACGTAGAGTGAATGGAATTGGCAGAAGACTGTCATGAGCGATCCTGGGAACCTCTGGAGGAAGCCATAATGGATGGATCTTCCAGTTGGTGCTTCTGGCTGAAGATTACTGTTAATGATTCAGCCTTATTTTCAGCACTGATGCATGTGGCACCCCCATCACTGAAGATGGGGATATTTGTAGAGTCTCCTCCTCCAGTGAGTTGTTTAATTGTCCACCACCATTCTCAACTGGATATGGAGTGAACACAGGCTTAGACAAGACATAAGAACTGGAGTAGGCCATTTGGCCCCTTGAGCCTGCTCTATCATTCAACAGGATCATGGCTGATCCAACACTCCTCACATCCATTTTACTGTCTTTTCCCCATAACACTTGATTCTCGATTGATCAAGAACCTATTTGCATCTGATATGTTGGTTGCAGAATTTGCTTGACTGTCTATCACTCACCGTTTTGACACACAAAATAGTAGATTTGGTAGCTTCACCAGGTTGCCACCTCATTTTGTGGTGTGCCTGGTGCTGCTGCTGGCATGCCCTTCTGCACTCTCCATTGAACCAGGGTTGATCCCCGAGCTTGATGGTATTGGCAGAGTGGGGGATATGCCAAGCCATGAGGCTCCACCTTGGGTTGGATTATAATTCTGCTGCTTCTGATGACCAACAGCACCTCATGGATGGCCAGTCTTGAGTTACGAGATCTGTTCAAAGTCTTTCTCATTGAGCACAGCGATGGTGCCATACAACACGATGGAGGATATTCGCAATGTGAAGGCAGGATTACATCTCCACAAGGACTGTGTATTGGTCCCTGTTACCAATACTGTCATGGACAGATATATCTGTGGCTGGCAGATTGGTAAGGATGAGATGAAGTGTGTTTCTCCATCAGACTACAGACTCAATCTTGCAGCTATGTCCTTCAGGGCCTGACCAGCTCAATCAGTAATGCTGCGGCCTAGTCAGTCCCATGATGGGTATTGAAATCCCCCACCCAGAGTATTATCTATGCCCTTGCCACACCCACTGCTTCCTCCAAGTTGTTCAATATCACCTGAGGTAAGATGGTACGTGATAATCAGCATGAAGTTTCCATGCCTATGTTTGACTTGTGCCATGAGACTTCATGATGTCCGGAGTCAATGCCCTCCTCTTTAGTTATTCAAATCATAACACTACATTTCTGTACAATACAGATGATACGTAACAAATTTCCAATGACACAATCTATTTGGCCACTCTTAGTGACCTTAAGATATGAAAATGGAGGACTGTCAATGACCACGTTAGAACAAATGTCAGGAGGACACTTTAATGAAGTAACAAATAAGACATTAAAAATGCTCAATAATAGTGAATATTGTACTTACCACATTAACATTAAAAGCATAGAGAAGATCAAAAGGGAGCGCAGCTACCAAATCGATGATAAACCATGTTGTTACATAATGAATACAAATAGAACGAGCTTCAAAAATAACTTGTCCAGACTTGCTGACATATGTCGTTCGAAAATTCAGAATAATATCTGTTTGACATAAAAAGAGCACAAACTATTAGTTAATGTGAGAGATAGTAGGAACTGCAGATGCTGGTAAATCCGAGACAACAAGGTGCAGGGCTGGATGAACACAGCAGGTCAGGCAGCATCATAGGAGCAGCTCGTCCCTGCCTCCCTAACCTGTTCTTCCTCCCATCTATCCCCTCTTCCCACCTCAAGCCGCACCTCCATCTCCTACCGACTAACCTCATCCTGCCCCCTTGACCTGTCCGTCCTCCCTGGACTGACCTATCCCCTCCCTAACTCCCCACCTACACTCACCTTTACTGGCCCCATCCCCGCCTCTTCGACCTGTTTGTTTCCTCTCCACCTATCCTCTCCTCTATCCATCTTCTACCCGCCTCCCACTCTCTCCCTATTTATTTCAGAATCCCCTTCCCCTCCCCTTTTTCTGATGAAGGGTCTAGGCCCAAAACGTCAGCCTCTCTGCTCCTTTGATGCTGCCTGACCTGCTATGTTCATCCAGCCCTGCACCTTGTTGTCTCTATTAGTTAATGTGAATCATTTTGTTGGTTTGGGTAAAAATTTAATACAAATAAATCAGACTTTCTGTCTTTGTAAACAAAATAATTTATGTAAATTCAACTTACGTATAATTAAAAAATGAATTATACTTGAAGGGACTGTCATCTCTATTAAAATATATTAACCATTTATATTCCATTACCTGTGTATTGAATTAAAAGGTTAGCACAGACTGAAAAAAGAGCAGCTTCATCTATGTCTTTAAACACTGCAAAACTTGACAACCCCGAATGTGTTGTTCAAGTTATATAACTTAGTTTACAGGAGTGTCATAAATTAGCCATCATAAGCGAGGCAATGTGACTTAATAAATTGCATATTTCATTATTTGGCCTATTAAGTTCGGTAGTAGCTTTGTAATAGATAAGAAACTAGAAATTACTTATATAAGTGCGTAGATTGTGGTTTGAAAGATCTTTCAATCAATTTGTGTGATCTTTCACTGATGAGTGCGCTAAAGGCAAAGCAGTTGATGTTTAAAGGCTTCTCAGAATTTTTAGCCAATGCTTTTCCCTCATGTCTGCTTGGTAAACTAAGGTTACATTATTTTAAATAAAGAAATCAAAGAAATGCAGATGGTGGAAATCAGAAACAGATTCTGGAAAAACTCAGCATGTCTGGCAGCATTGGTGGGGAGAAAGCAGAGTTAACATTTCAGGTCCAGTGACCCTTCTGCATTATTCATTATTTTAAGTAACATACCTCACATTATTCTTTTTCCAGCAATAATCAAGTTCTTTCATTTACTAATGGATTTTTTTCCCCTGGAAAGAGACTTTGAAATTAATGCAACGGATTGTTCCATACGATTAAAATTCATTCATAGAATCCCTACAGTGTGGAGGCAGGCCATTCGGCCCATTGTCACACACCAACCCTCCAAAGAGCATCCTACCCAGACCCATGCCCTCCCATCCTATCTTTGTAACCCCACATTTCCCATGGACACTATGGGTAATTCAGCATGGCAAATCTACCAAACCTGCACCTCTTTGGTCAAAGTAGATTTCCTCCCACAGTCTCAGGGTGAATGTGCAAACTCCACACCGACAGTCATCCAAGGGTGGAATCGAACCCAGTCCCTGGCACTGTGAGGCAGCAGTGCTAACCATTGTGCCACCGTGCCGGTCGTAAAATACTTTTTAAAGCATCAGTTTGGTAATATCTTGAACAGCTGTTCACTTGACAGAAACAAATATACTTTATATCCAAATCTGCACTATAGGATGTGACAACTCCTTAAGTCAAGGTGTATATTAGAGAATAAGAGCAGAAGTAGGACATTTGGCTCATTTAATCTCCACTGCCATAATGAGATTATGACTGATCTGATAATCCTCAATTCCACTTTTCTGCTTTTTCCTCGAGGCTCTGACTGATTTTGCTAGAAAGAAATTATCTGTTTATGAAAGCTTTTTATAGCCAAACAGCCAGAATTTATATTGCGTTCAACAATTTTGGTACTTAGCGACCAATAAAACATTTTTCTCATCCAACAGATTCTGTTTCCTTTCCCAGATCACCATGAAAACTTGTGAAATATTCTCTCGGGACTCCCCCTGCTGTAACACCGAGACTGGATTTATGCCAGGTGTTTATGAGGGGGCTTTTTTGTGGGTGGAAGGGTAAAATAGTTCAAGTGGCAAGGAAACATTCCACTCACCTCTGAGATTGCCCATAATAAACTAGGTGAATGAGAGTCAAACTCAGCTGTCTGCCAGTCACATATAAATAAGCAAGGGTCATTTAGCCTCATTAACAAGTCTCTTGACTTGAATAAAACATTGCTCATGCCAAAGTGTAGTTGGTGTAGGCAGTTAAATGGCAGCGAGCAGACAGATTTTTTGGACGAGATGAGAAAAGGCAGGAGGAGAAAATCATTTTGAACGTGTTCTATGTGCATTGGTGGCACCCCACAAGATAGCACCCACATCCTTCTGTAGTGTCTGCCTGATAGGAACAAGCCCCTCACTCTCCTCCCTGAATTTTAAGGTTGCTCCTCAGCCTAGGTCCTTATGAATCACCTTTCCAGGGAAGTCATGATCCAATTCAACCTCCTTCCTGCACTCCTAGTAGAATGTACCACCAAGCTACAGTACAGCTTAAAGTGATGGAGTTGCCCGCCAATTGCTGGCAGCTCCCTAAATTGGGACTTCTCCCAATTAGGACAGCAGATCAGAAAATTTCACTTCCTGGGTTTTTTATTGATTGATAGTTAAAATGTCCTCAGGTGCAGTTTGTAGATGGTAAAAACTTCGGCCACTATGCATTGTTGTTGAAGGGAGTGAAACTTAATGTGGTGGATGTGGTGCCAATCAAGTGTACTGGTTTGTTCAGGACGGTGTCAAGCTTCTTAAACATTGCTGGAATTGCAGCCATCCAGCCATGAGAGGGGTATCCCACCACCTTCCTGACACACCTTGTAAATGGGGGACAGACTTCTGGGATACGGGAATTAAGTTACTCGCCACAGGTTTCCTCGTCTCTGATGTCCTCTTGTAGTTACAATGGTAATACCTAAGAGACTGATAGTTGGGGATTTAATGATGGTGATGCCATTGAACGTTAAAGAGATAACTAAATTACTGGAGACAGTCATTGCTTGGCAGTGGTGTGGCTTGTCAACTCAAGCCTAGATATTGACTAGATCTTATTGCATTTGAACATGGACTGCTTTAGTATGACAAGTTATGAATGATGCTGAATATTGTACAATCATCAGAATGCATGTTACTTCTGACCTTATGATGAAGGAAGGTCATTGATGAAGCAACTGACGATGATTGGGTCTCGGATACTACCCAAAGGAATTCTGGCAGAGTTGCCATGGACTTGTGATGACTGTCCTCCAATTGCCTGAATATCTTCTTTGGTGCCAGGTATGACTCCAACCAATATTCCCTCTGACTCCCATTGACTCCAGTTTTGCTAGGTCTTCTTGCTGCCACACTTGGTGAAATAGTGCCTTATTGTCAAAGTCTCACCTCACATCTGGAATTCAGTTCATGTTTCAAACAATGCTGTAATGAGAATGGGAGCTAAGTGGCCCTCATGGAACCCCACCTGGAGGTCAGTGACCAAGTTACTGCTACTCAACTGCTGTTTGTTAGCATATTGAGAACACTTTCCATCACTTTACTGATGATTGAGAGTGGACTTAGTCAATGAGTAGAGGCTAGGCAGTAGTTGGCTATGTTGGATTTGTCCTGCTTTTTGTGTACAGGATATACCTTTGAATTTTCCACATTGTCAGGTTGGTGCTAGTGTAGCTGTACTGGAATAGCTTGGATAGGGGTGCAGCAAGTTCTGGAACACAATTCTTTAGTACTATTGCCAGATTGTTATCAGGGCCTATAGCCTTTGCAGTATCTTGTGTCTCTAGTCGTGATGTGATATCACGTGGAGTGAATCAAGTTGGCTGAAGACTGGTATCTGTGATACTGCATATATCTGGAGGAGGTTGAGATGGATCATCCACTTGGCACTCCTGGCTGAAGATTGTTGCAAATGCTTTAGCCTTGTCAATTGCACTGATTTGTTTCTCCCTTATTATTGAGGCTGAGGATATCTGTGGAATCTGCACTTCTTGTTAGTTGTTAATTGTCCACCACCATTCACGACTGGTTGCAGCAGGTTTGCACAGTGGGTACTTGATCCATTGCTTGTGGGTTCACTTAGCTCTGTCTATAGCTTGGAGCTTTCACTATTAGCATGCAAGTAGTCCTGTATTGTAGGTTCATTAGGTAGCCATTTCATTTTTAGGTATGCCTGTTGCTACTCCAGGAATGTCCTCCTGCATTCTACAATGAACCAGGGTTGATTTCTTGGTCTGATGGCAATGATAGAGTGAGGGAAGATATTTGGCCGGGAGGTTACAGATTGTGGCTGAGTACAAGTCTGCTGCTGCTGACCCACAGCACTTTCTGGAGTCGCTTGATCTGTTTGAAGATCTGTTAATGTTATTCCGTGGTCTTGATCCTTCCATTCTCTACAATCTTCTCTGAGGTATCTGCGCAGTTCTAATTTTGGCTTTGTCAGCATCCTTGAGATGAATTGGTCAGCATGCCTTCAGCTGCCAAAACTCTAAACCTTTTCCTTAAAACTGAGTTTTGAATCAGCTAGAAGACAGAATGTTGGTGGTGTTGCATAGGAGCAATTCTTTGATGCCAGTTGAGATCAAATAATGAAAGATTTGAAAAGCAACATAAAAACAGAATGGTAATGGATGCTGTAAAAAAAAGTGTCCAAACTATGAAAATAAAAAAAATTCAAATACAATACAAGGGGATAAGATAAAAACCAAAACAAAATCAATACAGAGAAACACAACAAAAGAAAAAAAAACACAGGACTGTTGCTGAACAAAGAGATCTTGGAGAGCAGATTCATAGTTCCTTGAAAGGGGAATCATAGGTAGACAGGGTAGTGAAGAAGCCCTTGGT